AGATAGCATCCAAAAATCAAGAAGCGTACAACTGGCTTATGGCTATTCCAAAGCACATGTGGGCATTGTCGCATGATGAAGGTGGCGCACGCTATGGTATAACGACAACAAATTCGTCTGAAAGCTTCAATCGTGTCCTTAAGGGATGTCGTTGTTTACCCGTCTTTGCCATCGTGAGGTTCACATATGACAAATTGGTCAAGCTATTTGCTGATAGGCGAACCAATGGATATTTGTGGCAACAATCTGGGTATAATTTTCCAATGAATGTGTGGAAAAAGATCAAGCACAATGAAGAAAATAGGCTTTATTGTCGTGTTGTGCAGCACCACGCACAACATGGGATATACTCTGTGGTTGTGGATGGGTCCTTCAACAATGGTCACCGCGAGACATTTGCGGTGAATTTAAATGCACGGACATGTACTTGTGGATATTGGGTAATATATCACATTCCGTGCATTCACGTTCACGCAGTATGTCATCAGTGTAGTGTCACTGTGGATCATTTGATTTCTAATTTTTTTTCACTCCAGTCCTACATCAACGCTTATTCGGGCATCCTAATGCCGCTTCCAGATGAGGCCAACTGGCCTACTCCAGGATACGAGATTGTGAGACCAACTGCACGAGCGAGAACACAAACCGGTCGACCAACAAGAACTCGCTACCCGAATAACATGGACTACCGACCACGACGACGTCGCAATGAACAATAGCTATATCATGGATTTCAAATGTTCAAGTTTATGTTTTCTGATTTTAACAAAATAAATTAGTTATGTCATGTGTTTTGTATCCTAAATTTTATGGATAAATTTTATGTACTCTATCAATAAATGTGTTGTAATTTACTTCTTATTTTTAATTCAGTGTATGATGCATTATCTAAAGTCAATAAATATTTATTTACTTTATGAATTTGTTGTTAGTAGATTGTTTGTTTCATTTTATATGTCAATAATTTTTTATGTTTTTCAAATATATGAAATAAAACTAAATAATTCAGTTTTTAAAAAATTAAAAAAAACACGGAACGGAGTTGGCTACTCCGTTTAAGCATTTAATTAATAGGAACGGAGTCAGCTACTCCGTTTCTCTATTTAAATCATTGGAGCGGAGTTGGCTACTCCGTTTCTGATGAATTCTGCAGATGAAACGGAGTAGGCTAATCCGCTTTGCTTTATTTCGGAAAGTATATACTAAAGTTACATATAATGGAATGCAAAACAACAAAGTTACACATGCAGGTAAATCACCCGAATTCCTTTTGGGATTAGGACAAGATGCAGCCCGGGTTCGGAACTCGTAATTAGTATCAAATTATTTCGGTTAGTTATTCAGAAATTCAACCAAGAATTGTGGTGGGAGGTGGTTTTGGTCTCAAACTTTGTTGGGGAAATTCTAGGTGACACGGATTAATTTAAGAGTCGTGTAGCACTTTCAGATTGATTATTTTAGATGTTTATTTCAAAAATTAATGAGAAAAAACTCAAATTTGACAAGAATATGTTTAAATTGATACTCCCTCCGTCCCACAAAAAAGTTCTCATTTTGAATAGTATTTAGTCAAATATTTACACGCTTTGACTACAAATTGTGAGAAAGGTATATTGAATTATGAAATAAATTTTATATAATTGGATTCATCTTAGGATCTAGTTTTGATAACTCAAATTTTTTTAGCATTTCTTTATTTAGATTATATTTAATTTATGGTCAAAGTGTGCAATAGTTTGACCAATTTATGGTCAAAATGGGAACTTTTTTGTGGGACGGAGGAAATATGAATTTTTGAACTCTACAATCGATCAAGAGCTTTTCCAGATTCTTAGAGGCGCGGAAGGAAGGATTGAGATGCGGCCACGTCTTTCTCTAAATTCACGTCTAGTCGCGCAAAACGTTAGAACAAATCCACACATTTTTTCTGAAAATTTATTTAAGGAAAAATCAGAATTTTAAAATTCAAGGGGCTCTGCCCCTTGGACCCCAGAGGGGCTACCGCCCCTTGAACCCTACTCGGGGACACCGTTAAAACATGACTTTTATCATAACAACCTCAACGAAGCGTGTACTCTGCACCACCAAACTTCTTTGATGATTATTATGATATCTTTGGTCAAATAATTTTTCCAATTACACTAAAATATATAACAACTTTGGGTACCAAATAAACTACCCAAAATTTTTTTTCCTTTTTGACTATTGTTGGGGGTGGAGGGGAATATAGCTGAAACCAGTCAGAATTGAAACTGGACTAAGACAGCTGGTTGAATTGAAACCAGAACATATCCTACGCAGCTCCAATTACGGTATCACTCCCCCTCCCAAAATTGGGAACTTTCAAGTTTCAATTCTGGGCAATTGAGCAGTACTTCGTAATTTCGTGTCTGCGTCCAGAAATGATCTTTCATTTGACTTTTTACGGTTCCTCATGTAATATTTTAACTTTTAATATCTACATTTACATAGAATATATTTTATGTAAATTTAATGTTCTAAAATAATGATTAATAAGCAAAATATTAATATTATATTTAATCGAAATAAATGTATTTTTTTCAAATTTCGAGGTCATAATTTACAAATTTTGACCAAGTTAGATGAGAAAATATTAAAGAAATTACCCTGCATGGCTGCGTAGCACTCTAAGTCATTCAATATTACGCATATAGCACTCCTTAATCTTTTATACGAATATAGCTATTTATAGTGTCGATATCTTCCAAGCATACCCTCTACCTTTTATTATATTCAACTATTTTTAATTTCTTTTAATTATTTGATTAAACTTAGGTTATTCACGTAGCCACTCCCCCTCATACGCGTGGCTCTTCCTCATTCGTGCGTCTCATATGTACGAGAAAATCATCATACGCCGTTTACCATAGCTCTGCGAGATCCTCCTCCTATGCAGTTTACCAATTTAACATGCCTAAATAAGTTCCTACATATTAAATTAAGTTCCATATTTAACACCCATGTTTGGCCAGTGTGTTTTGGTGTAATAGATTATTCATGAAATAGTCGTACACTTTTGGACAGTGTGGAATTCATACATGAAAATAGTCATACACATTTTTGGCAGTGTGGAATTCATACATGACAACAGTGTGTAATTCATACATAAAAAGAACAATACATTTTTTGGGCAGTAGAAATTCATACATGAAAACAGTCGTATACTTTTTGACAGTGTAGATTTTATACATGAAAACACTGCCTCATAAATCAATGAAATTACACTCCAACATGAAATTAAGGAACACAATAATTTCACATTGCCGTAAGATATAACAACATATATCCATTCTACACTGCCACGTTAAATACTCACATATAAAAAATCACACTCCCCACTACATAGTTACAAGTGAACAACCACACTGCTCAAAATAATCATATTTTTTGGCAGTGTAATGAATATTTATTGTTTAATTAAAGGACAAAATCGGAATCACATGTACGAAACATATAGCACTGCTATTTAGAGTATTTTAAGGCTCTAAGAGTGCTATTTTGGTTTTTCTCCCAAAATATTACCGGGGAGGGATTAAATGAGTTTCACACAAACTTTTATAGAAGAAATAGAAATATACGAGTAATTTTGTTAATGTAATGCTTTCTTTCTACAAATGGAACGAAATCAATGCGTTAAATTTGGGAGAGGGGAGACTACTTTAAATAAGAAAAATGCTAGGGGTACACCAAATGTGTACCCCATTTGTCCCTCGCCCCCTCCTTGTCCACACAAAAAAGGCAAGAAATTAAAAAAAAATAAATAAAAATAAAATAAAAATGGGTGGTGGAGAAGTGAGTGGTGTACAAATGGGGTACCCCAAATGGTGTACCCCTAGCACTCCTCTTTAAATAATTCACGTAGTATAAGCATAGAAAGAATTTGATTGCTCGGATTTTAATGTTTGGTCTCAAACTTTTGGTGCAAATAGACTACCCGGATTTTAATTTTTTTTTCTTGTTTAAGATTTGGTAATTGAGATTATTTCCTACAAAAATAATTTCTAACATATTTTTAGGTCATTAAGAAAAGAAAATCTCAATTACCAAATATTTTTTTCTTGTTGGAGTATACATAAAATATGTAGGAGGATACATAAAAAAAGATGATTAGTACAGTGACTCATGTGTTGAGAGAGTATGGGATAGTTTGATTAGGCTTCTTTCTAGATGAATCCGGGTATAGTTTATCTTTGTCTTTAATTTATGGTGGTCGTGTGGCGGTGGAAGTGGTAGACCCATGTAGTGTATGGTGAGAGTATACTTTTAGTTGTAGTGTGGGGTGCAGGCAGTAGTGTCGCAGTGAGGATGACAATATAGCAATGAAGGCAATATCATGGTGGGAGTGTGGCAGTGTAGCAATATGGCAATGGAGATCAGAAGGGTGATAGTGTGGTGACAAAGTTGGTAGTAGATAGAGTTGAGAGTGTGATGGTGGAGCTAGCAATGTGGTGGTGCAGTTTAGAGTGTTAAGACTGACAACGCTATTATTCCCTCCGTCCCATAGTATTTGTCTACTTTCATTTTTACACACCATCCAATACACTTCTTTAATCTATTTTATCTTGTAATTTGTATATTAAAAAAGTATAGAAATTATATATTAATAATCTATATGTTAAGACAAATCAAACAAGATCACACATGACTGTATTTAGACTTACACATTGAGAGAATTTGATGAGTCAAAGTGCTTAGATGAATAGTTTCAAAAGTCAAAAGTGGACGAATATAGCGGGACGGAGGTAGTATTAAATAATGGCTTGTCTTTATGTCACACATTTTTTAACTTCGTAAAAGTCAAATACAAAAGGTTTTTATGTAACAGAAGTTGTATTTAATTTTAACATACAAAAATTAAATACTCTGTATTCATTTTGTACAATTATTTATTTGCATATACTTTTGATCATTTATTTTATTTAAATTAAGGTATGCACATTTATTTGTATTTCTTGCATATTTTTAGAATGCGCACATTACAAATAGTGTATGCTAATTAACGAGTTACATACTGTTTAGTGAAAGAAAAAAGAGTGCACAATTATTTTTGTTCTTAAGCTTGTAGCCCCTCTGTCTTAAAAAATGTTCTCTCTGTCTGGAAATAAACTTCCTATTCTACATTTCTTCCATCCAAAATTAATCTGCTCGTTCTAATTTTTTTATCCAACTCTTCCAAAAAACTCTTCTCATTAAATAATCTTTCTTTGTTTTTTTCTTCTTTCCTCCGCCACTTCTCCCTCTCTTTTTTCATCGACATCTCTTCATCACTTTCTTTTCTTCAATCTCCTCTTCATCCTCCTTTATCAATCCTTCTCTTATCGTCTCTCTCCCCTTTGGTTCTTCCATCTCTTCCATCTCTTCTCCTCTCTCTCTCTCCCTCCATATTTCTTCTTATTTATCTCCTCCTCTTCTTCTCCATCTTTCTTCCCGATTTGAGACATGACGGCGGTTGTGCCGGCTAGACCTGGCAAAACGGTCAATAAGGTCGGGTTCAGGTTCTATCGAGTTCGAGTTATTTGGGTTCGAGTCTAAGAGTGTTTGTTCATGACCCAGAGTTATCAGATTCGATTTGACCCAACTGGTTAAGAGGCATATTTAAAAACTAAAATTTTTGCTATTTAGAGATAAAGTGATCCACGCATTATTCAAAGCAAAAAACAAAGTCATAAAAGTTTGCAGTTCCATTCGCAACATACCAAAAAAAATTACAATATAACCAAAAAATTAGCTTTTTGCAGCATACCAAAAAAGCTGCTGTAGATAAAAAAATTGAAGATTCTTTCAACATACCCAAAAAGTATATACATTATACATAAAATTGAGATTCTTGCAACATATCAAAACAAAACTTTGCAATAGATGTAAAGTCAGATTCATGTTTATATTTTTCATATGGTGTCATCATTACATTTTTGTAGAATGTATCATCATTACATAATTTTAGCATATAAAAAATGCAGTATACCAAAAAAATTAGACAATATCAAAGAAATTTAGTACCAAAAAAATCAGAAGAAAAGAATTAAAATTTATATAACTCGTTGGAGCAGCAGAAAAAGATGAAATAACATTTAAAACTCCACTATTGTTCTTGTATCTTATCACCATTTTGATTGAGTCGGCACCTAATATCGACGGATGATAGAAGAGTGGAAGGACGAAAGAGAGAGAGAGGGGGAGAGAGAGGGGAGAGAGAGGCTGGAAAGTTACTAGATTTATATGAGATTTTTTCCCATTTTGAGTTTTGAGTAACATAATGGATATATCATATTTTAAATGAATATATAAAACTAAATAACTAATAAAAGTAAACAATTAAGTGCATCACATGTCGGGTCAAACTAGGCCCAACCCGTTCTGAGCCGAAAATTTAACGAGTCTTCGTGTTCGGTTCGTGTCGAGTTTGGGTCGCAAAAATAATGTTCAAAACCCACTAACTTTGGGTCGGGTTTTAGATTAATAACGGGCTGGGTCAAATTTTGTCGAGTCTAGTGGCGGCCAGTTTGATGGTGAGTCTAGATCTATACTTCTTCTCATTATTTATTTTAAATCTACATTATCACCCCTTTCTCCTCATTGTTTCTTTTAGATCTGTGTCATAGTGGCGACAATGGTTGGACTGGGGGCAGTGTTTGGGTTGGCGTCAATGCTGGTGAAATGATAGTGGTGGGGATGAAGTTGGCAGTGGGGGCTGGCAAAGAAGGTCGAAACTAGGGGTGGCGATGGTGTTGGTGGCGGCTAGGATATGGCAAGGATGGTAAATGAAGGGCGGGCATTTTAGATAAATAGAACCAATAGTCATCCTTCAATAAAAATGAAGAAAATTAAGTCAAACTGGGAAATTTATTTCTCGACAGAATGGGTGTATATTTTTTCTTTTTTTGTTTATCCAAATAAATACTTCATGTTTCACATGTCTTTCTTTTTTGTGATATTCGATATAACACTTTGATCAATAATACACACACACACTCGCGAAACAATAATACAAACTTAACGATGAGTGAATACCGAATTGTTAATAAATAATCTAACAAATAACAGTGTCTGGCTTTGACTTTTATTAATAGTCATAACGAAACATAGACTGTCAGAAATTATCTTCTTTGAAACATTAGTGATAAACCTTGAGCAAATGATACTAAATTCATTGATGACATGTTTGGAAACTTGAATGTAGATTTCAAATTCATATTTGGCTCAAATTTATGATACAATGTTTGATTTTGAACTTCATTAATAGTCATAGCAAAAATAAACTATCAAAAATTATTTTTTTTTGAGACTTCAACAATAATCCTCGATCAAATTATACTAAATTCATTTAGGGTATGTATGCTTTCTCTCTAACTTTGTTTCTATGGTGTATACCACTTATAATTCAAATATAATGATATAAATTTAATAATTTTACAAATCTATGATTCTTATTCCCCACATTAATTCAAAAAATATTAATGAAAAACATATTAGCAATTCTATGATTCTTCTCCTTATATTAATTCAAAATAAATCTTATTTATTCATTGAGAGTTTATTATAAATGAAAGATTTATATTCCATATTTAAATTCATTCAATGATGTTATGAAGAATGTTAGTGTAAACATAGTATGTTATGGTGACACATTTTATTTTGATTAATTATATTATAAAATTTAATTAAAGTATCATATGCTAATAGATAATTAAAAATAATATATTTTTAAATTTAAATTGAAAATCGTCTAAAACGCATAAATCATAACTTTTCTAGTCATTTTAAATTAATAAGTTCAAACAACGAAACTATGTATAGTATTTTTTCTACTTTAAAATTATTATAACTCAATCCTCTCTTGTTTTTTAAATTTCTATATGTAGTTTTAAAAATATATTGTTTGTTTTTAAATTTATATCAATACTGAAAAATAGATTAAAACAAACTTTATTTTAATGTATCCTAAACAACTACTCGTATGATATTTATTTAAAGGTGAATATAGTAACATATTTATTAATTTAAAGTTTTGTTATAAATGAAGAGAGAAAAAATTGTAGAATTATGAAAGAATATTATTAAAAACGAAGATCTCTATTTTATAATTAAATTTACTCAAGCATTTTATGCTAAAATATTTATTTCATATATTGTAAATCATAAATAGTCTAAAAAGTATAAATCATAAATGTTTAGTCACTAATTCAAATCATAAAATTAATATATCTAACTAGGGTAAGAATCATCAATTTTATCAACAAAACACTATATAGGTCGTGAGTCATAATATGACCTTGAAATCCAATGTTAAAAGAATTGTTTTGAAATATATATGAGTTTATTGATATTAAATTCATATAATAATTCAATGTACCTTTCTCATAATTTATGGTCAACATTTTTAAGAAACATAGTTTAGGAATAATTTAAAATCACAAAGAAAATAATAAATTATTTAATTTAATATTTTAATAATTTAAATTGACTTTATAACAATAACAAAGAAAATAATATTTTTTAAGATTGTGACATGCTATTAGTTTTTATACAATTGAGATGGGGATGATGATGATGATAAGGAGTAATATAGATAATACAAAAATATATTATTATTATTATTATCTGAAAATAGAATACTGTTATACTCCATGTTTTCTTCGTAAATCTTCTTAGATATTATTTAGATTGTCAAATTTAAATGACTTTGTTTGTTTGTTTTAATTACTCATCTCATAAAATAATATAATCTTATTATCTCTTATATTGTTGTTTTTTCATATTTTTTTAATGTATAATTTTTATTTAATTTTACAACAATTATCAAATAAATTAAATATAAAATAAAGTCTATCAAACTTCATGATACATAATGAAAAGAGAAATTTACCTTAATAGGACTAAAACATAATGACTTTCCAAATATAAGATCATATGTTTTTATTTCCCAATGTAGGACCTTTGGTCATTATCAATTAGTCGTTATTCAACTAAATGCCCATCATTACTGGACAGTATTCCTCACACTAGACATCTTAAAAGTCATTATTAAGCTCTATTTAGGGAATAAAAAGTTTAAGTCCACATTGGGAAATGACTTATGTTTTAGTTGTATTTAGTATAAATTTTACTAATGAAATTATGAAAAAGCATATGGATAAAGAGGGAGTACTACAAGGGTGGGTATGCGCAAGTGGTGGGATTTGCCAAAGTACCTATGGGCATGGGACACATAATTTAATAAACTAGGCTATTTATATTCCAAAACTTGTGTCTACATTATATATTTGTATCTTTATTTTTTTATTAGTGTGATGTTAATGTGATGATTTACACATATACAAAATATTATCGCAAAATTTTATTTTACATTAGCATTTTGAGATTTTTACTTTTAGAGCATTAATACCTTGTTAAATGTTAGAGATTATCTACATTGGAAATTTTAGAGTAAAAAATAAGTGTATAAGCCATTGAATTAAACTAAATAATCGATTGGATTCAATCTTTTAATATAGTTCAACTCAAATATCTCATGGTCTAGTCTAGTAACCTGTTAAGATACCATGAAGAAATTTAAGATGGGTAAGAATACGTTCTTAGCACGGTTGTACTTTGATCAAATAATGAGATTTTTTACTTTCTAGAGCATTAACACCTTGTTAAACGTTTTATTTCACTGAAACATACTCTTGAGTTATGACATAATTTCTAGACAATGAGGTGTAAAGAAGTACATAAAAAATGAGGGATGAAACTCTGCATGTTCGGGAGTAGCGATTTGGGGAAATAAACGGTATCGATTGCGTGTTTGTTTAGCGCTAGAAGAGAGTTGCATTTTTTGGGTCATCTCTATTGCCTACTTCCTCGCACAGCTTAACTCAAGAAGCTATCCAGCCATTGTTCTTCCTCTTCTTTTTTTTTTTTTTTTTGAATTTCCAAATTCAATTTCTAAGTCAAGGTCCTACAAATTAGTTCATTCCCATCCCAGGAAAATAGATGACTTTATTATACATTCACAACTTGAATTTTCAAGAAAGACAGAATGGATTATGTGCAAAACTTCTTTGAAAGTTAATTGATTGATCATCGTTT